ATAAGACACAATTTTTGCTGTTTAGAAAATTGACACATTTCCGAAAGCAATGGTTTGTACCTGTCTCTAGAAGAAAAAAGCTTGAAGCAGTGAGTCTTCATCTGCTTCACTGTACCTCAACAAGAAAAGAAGGTATCTGAGAAACCAGATCTTTCTTTGGCTGGGAAGGAGCAGCTAGAGTAGAGTGCTGCCAACCAAGTTGTCATCTTTCATGTTTTGTTTTTTCCTTGGCAGATGTCTAGGGAGCATAGAATCTCTATAACTTTGCAAAGTCTCCCTTATTTGCCCTCCTTTGAGATTACTTTTCATCTTGATAAATACAAAGAGAAGGGAAGGAACAAAGCCTCTTTGGGCCGAGAAAAGGAGTGAGGGTGGAGCTTTTCCTTCACTTGGACTAATTGAAATATTTGTCACTTTTCCTTTTCCCCAACACTCCTTCCACAGTCTACCTGTTTTGCTCAGTCTCTTTGCATTAATGTGAAATACCAAGTGATGAAATCGGACAATACGCATTTTTGTAAAGCAATGCTCATGCGTTATACTTTCTTTCATTAATTTTATTTTTAATTTATACCAGACTGTTTTAAATGTAGCATAACCACAAATACTTTTTTAGAAAATATGCTAGCGATTCTTTGTAACAGACATTAATATTTATTACTAGGCTGAGATAGAGCAGAAGGTCACGCTTGCCATTAAAAAAAAATAAAAGCAGAAGCTATTTCTCTTTCTTATTCAGCGCTCCTGTTTCAATGGAGTATATGCAGGCAGAGATTCTGACTGGCCCAGTGATGCTGTTGTCTAGGATCTGATCCTGCAAGGCACTAAGCAGTGCAGACCTCCCGTTGTGGTAGAAGTAAGAGCAGTCAGCACGCTGTAGCATTTGGACCTTTCTACAATCGATACTAGCACGAGGAAATTTGATCTTGTATCAGAAGGGTTGGTTTCTCTTTTCACTTACAAAGGTATTCATTCAGTTTTGTATCTTTGTATGCAAAAGTAAAGCAGAGCTTTGCTCAGTAGCTCAGCATTAACACTTAATTTTAAATGAGAGAAGATTCAGCCACCTTGGTTTTATCTGCTGGCTGTGTATGACTAAAAGTGCTGTCTATCATTCTGACCCCAAGGTACAATGTATGGATCTGCTAATGTGGGGGTCAACCACTATTGCATTACTCTGTAGCACTGGGTTAGAACAGAGGGTTTAATTTGGGTTTAGTTAAATTTTAACTGCTCCCCCACTAACTAGGTTACGGGCTTTTCTGAAACCAGTTCTCTTCCTAGAGGAATTTCACATTAAAGCTTTAAGATTAGAAAATCCCGTGAACATTTTAAAATATTTAAAAACATTAATAAAAAGGTCAGTTCCTTCTAAAATAAACACAACATTTGAAGCAGAATAATATTTTAATAAAATTAAATCTAAATATTCACAAAGCATTATGCACATACAGTACATACTCTTTTTAAAGCCTACAGACCTTAAATCATTTTATTCTAATGTAGTCAGCTTTGGACACAAGCTAAGCTTACTCGTTTTGTAATAAGAAAGTTTATAATTGTTCCTGAAATTGATTTTACATATATACATATATATATATATATCTATATCTATACTCCTACATGTAAGTGTAGGTATATACACACACTTGTTTGTATATAAATATATACACACATACGTACTCACATATGTACATATATAAAACACACACATGCACACATACGGGAGTGTGTGCATGGTGTATGCCTGCGTCCACATACATATACACCCTGTTTAGGATCATTGTAGAGGGGCCAGTCAGTAAAAACAGGTAACTGCAAACAACCACACTAATAATTATTAAAAAAATACCCATAAGGTATTTTTTAATTAAACAGATTGTTGATAATTTGTATTGAACAAAAGGAACACAGTCTTCTGTATTATATAGAAACTAGATTTATTGCATTTGGTTATGTTCATGTGACAGATGAAGAGGACCTGTCTGCTCATGACAGCTAACTTCTATGGTGCCATTTATTTATTTTCTTTTTTAAATGGTCGAAAAAAATTATTCAATTAATGCAGTTTTGTGGATGCGACCTATGGTGATACTTTCCAGCATGTGGCGGAATTTTCTTGTCTGTTACAATACTGCCTTACCTCGACTGGTTTGGAAGGAGGCTGGTTTCTCTGTCCTAACAGTTTCAAACCCAGAAGACTTGGTTACCTTATTCTTTCTCTATGTTCAGAATAATTGTGATTTATTGTAAAAAGCTCACAACAAGAAAGATAAAATAATTTTCAAAAGTGAGCTACAAGAAGATTTTGCTTGAATTTTAGCTTGGTCAGGTAGGAGTTTTTTCTATGTGAATTATTGTTATTGGTCTCCTATTTGCTCTGAAGACATATCCACAATAAAATACTATTTCCATGACAGCAGTAAATGGTAATCTCCATGCAACGTAAACTGCAATTTCCGAACATGCATGTTATTTAAAAAAAATAAAAATATAAGGTGCCTTGAGAATGCTGGCAGTTTTACATTTGGAACATACAATTAGTGTGTGTGTGTGTATATATATATTTACATCAAAACTGCTCAACTTTACCTTACAAGCTTCAGATTTAGGAAAATATACAGTACTTTTGCATATAATGGTATATTCCTTGTAGCCCCTGAGTCAAGTATAGAGGATTTAAATACAAAAAAAAAAAAAAAGAAGGAAAAACAGCCATTAAAAGCACTTACATTTTTATGTGAAGTAATAGTATAAAAGTATTATTTCCCAGGAAGACCAGGATCAGAAACATGCCTATGAAGACTCAAGATTCCTACAGTGCTTAGTGAAGATTCTGGCAAAGAAGGGTGCCTAATTGGCTGTAGATAAGTTTTACAATGCTGTGCGGGACGCTCTGCAGGCTGGTCACGTTCTTGATCTAAAAGAGAAGCCAGGTTGTCTTCTGAGGCTGTGTTAAGATGCACTCCACTTGAGAGGGATTCTTTGGATTTAAGTTTCGATTTTTCAAGGTCTAGAAATTCAGGACACTGGAAGGGAGGAGAGGAAACAAGATGGTAATAATTAAATTGGTCTCTTCCAGGCTCTTGTTCTGCTCAGAACTGGCACATTCAGATGGCTGCTGGAAAGACGTGTTTGAAAATTAAGCAGCGTACTGAAATATTTTTACATGGTACTGCATTTGATTTAATGTAATTAAACAGAATTCTATTGATTGTCGAAGCCTGGATATCTTGTCCCCTCCTCAGACTTGCTCATATGACACCAAGATACACATACGAACAGCCCTTTCTAAAGGACCGAATATCCTTGAGACCTGATTTAAGAGTGTAGATTTCAACATTATTGAATTTGCAGTTTTGGTTCAGAATGTAACTCTGGAATTGCATCGTTCTGAGCATTATACCCATTTGGATTCCAGTCAGCACTCAGTTGTTCTTCACTTTTAAACTTGGAATTTCTGTGAAGTGTGCAGTGTGCCTGCTGCTGTTTGCAGAGGGTTTTGCCATACTTCTGTGCAGACAGAGGTATGTGTATATGCTTTGTGCAGGTACACGCACAGTGGGTTTACACTTCCGAAAACTACTGCTGCACGTTTGCTGCCCTGACAACCTTTACGCGTGTGAACTGATGCCTTCTGGGTGTGTTGGGCTTTCTGTGCCCATGTGTGTTCCAGCATATGCACAAGGAATCTGACACAGCCACACGTTCTGGATTTACTAATGGTGTGCTATGTGACTGGTTGGGGATTCCTAGATGTGCAGCAGCCTGTTTGGAAGTAATATGCCCAAGCTGTTAAACTCCAGAAATCCCAAACAGATTGGGAAAATCATTAAATTTTACCTGAAAAGAGGTGAGGTGGAAAACGTATATTGGAAAACACAGGTATGTCACAGCTCTGTATGTTCATAGTTCCAGCAGTAGCAAGGGACTGGACATAAGAATGGCTTTAGCCGCTCCTCTATGACCATCGTGCTGCATCAGCTGGACTTGTCTGGCCTGTACCTTGAGGAAAGCACAGTCATGGTGCTCCTCAGGACTTCATGATTGGGTTCTATGGCGGATGCCCCCATGCAGAGCAGGTCTGATGCTTGTAAAGTGTTTGTGGCTTATAGCCATGTCTAGTATTTGTCATTTCTGCTAACTTTTGTGAAGAGTGTGATAATAAAGTGAATCAGTCTGATTATAAGATCATCGCGCATGTCTCGCAACCCTCCTAGAAAATGTGGGCTCTGAAACTGTGGTATCTAAGTCCGCTGTGGAGGTGCTAGGTCAAAATAATGATTTTGTATTCCTCAAACTAGTCAACAAGCACTTAGATTGGTGTACATGTCTTCCATCGGAAGCTAAAAAGATTAGCAAACCTCTTTTGATGCTATTGGACATATACATACCTGAGATGAGGGACTGAAACTTCTGTCTGTTTTAATTGATGCTGCAGGCTGAAGCTTTCGTATCACCCGAATTGCTGGCTGTTGGTACTCTGCACCTGCAGTCACCATGCTATAGGCAGGTGGAATGAGCGTTGACTGCCTCTGCAGAAGCTGCAGGATGGTTTGGATATCAGCAGTCATTTGGGATTCAAGCCTAGAGGATTAATACAAGATCAGTTAACTCATGGTCAGGAACAGGCATATTTTAACATAGTGATTACAGATGCATTCAAGAAGGACCTGCAGCTTGTTAATAAAGCAAACTATTGCTTGTTATGACATGACCATGTCTTAAATAGGAAAGAACAGAAGAGGGAGTACTGAGCCCTTCCAAAGCTTGCTGGCTCTCCCTTTCCTTTGCAGAACCTACCTGCATGCTTCTCTCTGATGTTTTTGCTGCATTACAAATGAGTTCATTACTGTCCCTTATGTTTGCAACAAAAAGTAACACGGGGGACCAGGTCATTGGTTGAAATTAACTGGAATAAATGCACTCTTCTTGCTGTAACTAAATTGATTTGTACTGGCTGAGGGTGGGACACTATTTCTGATGTATCTGACAATGAATTCTGACATTCCCAATGCTAATACAATGCACTGAAATAAGCAGAAAACTCCATTTGTGTTTTTCCACAGTTAGAAAATGAAAAATATGTTCAAGATCATTAAAAACCCAACAGCCCAAGTCCCCTTACCGTGAAAATTTATTCAGACTTATTCAGGTCTCAGAATTAGTATCAACATTTCTGATGTTCAAATTTAGCAGCTTTCCCCCCCTGTTTTTCCCTTTTCATAAATTTGTATATGACTTCTGAAACACTTGAGCTGCTTATGTTGTTCATACTTAACAATTCCATAGCACTGAATGATTTTCAAATGGTCTTGCCAAGATCCATGACAAACTCAGCAATAGGTAATGCCTGTTGTGCCTCCCCAGCTGCTGGAAGGCTTCAGAACATGCTAGGAGGGACTGTAATACAGATATGCAGCCTTCTGTGTTGCAACTTGTCTTCTGACAGAGTAAACAAATCTTTGTCAGCAGCCTTTAATGTTGTGGGTGTTACTGCTTGGGCTCCCTACAGCAGCAGAATTGATCCTGTGCTGACAGATTTTTGCTCTCACCAGGTGCTTCACTAATATTACTTTTTATCACATTGGAGTTGTCCATTGGCTGTGTCATGTATTTATAAAAGCATCTATGAAATCAATCCGAAAGGTATGCCCAAAGGATATTTAGAGTGCTGTTTCTCGTTTTGTGGCATCAGCTCTCAAAATGAAAGGCCCAAACCCGGATGTTAGAGTCAATCATGCCCTGCTACCCTCTTGTTCACCTTCCTGGGGTGCTTTGCTACTTGCGAGTGTGCTGGTCCCATACCGGCATAATGCTGATGCCACAGGGGAAAATACTGCAGCAGCAGCTGCAGCAGCATGCCACCATCCCGAGAGCTTCCATCTGTTAAACATGGGCCTTAATGTCTCCGTGAATAAAAGGGATTCAGCATTGGAGGACTTGCATTGATTGTCTTTGTCTTTGAATTGACTATAAAATTGCTCCCTTCTTACTTTGTTAGCACTTGATAGGAGTTTCCAAGTACTTCAAATCAGAGTGCCTCTGGTAGTCTTTATTCATTATCATTGCATATATAACTTCTCTTTCCTTTCTCCAGAATTTAAAACAAGTCCAAGTCATGCCACCCAGGGATGAATAAACAGGAGAACCTCAGATGCTTGGCCCACGAAATTGTCTCCATGAAATTCCAATTGCTTAAAGAGGAGAAACAGAGATAGCTCTAGGGATGTATTCATACAGAGGCTTTCCAACCTCCTATATCCATTTAATAATTTGAATGTTATGCCAAGCCTCTAACATGGCACGAAAATGTTCAGGAGTAAGTGATCATGCTTTTTAGCCCAGCAGGTTCTGACATAAGCAGGAAAGAATATTGTCTGTTACGTTCAGAGAAGACCCAGCAAGGCCCAAGGTTCTGAGAGCATGAAAAGTTTTAAAAACACGAGAACAATTAAAGACTAAAATGATTTAATAAAATCCATAACAATTTAAATCTTAGTTTATGAGAAACAATGATATTTTCACACTCAAGAAAATACTGAGAACGTGCATGAGAATTTGCTAAAACTATGTGTAAATTTGAGACACAACTTCAGTTTCAAGAGCATAAGATTTCAGGAAAAGAAATGCAACCAAAAGGCTACGCACTGCTGATGGGGAACATGCAGCTGTTTAGTTACGTGACGTTTACAGTTACTTAGATACTTAGATTACTGCAATTAGAAATTACAGCATTTAGGCTTGCATGTTAAAAATGTCTTTTTAATGTACTATATAGCATTCAGAAGTGAAAAATACTATGGTTTGATTGGCTTATGGTAAATGAAGGAAGCAATATGCAGTTAACCTGGCTTTAATCTGATTGCTAAAATATACAGCACAGAATGCCAATGAAAAGCTACTAATGTGTAATTAGGGCTGAGTGCATGTCATAGTATTTGTCATGGAAAAATATTGAAAGTAATGGAATTGCAGAGTGAAAATAATAAAAAAGCCACAGACCTGAGCATAGGGCAATTTAAAATTAAGTGAAATTACATGGTAAATTATAGTGTAGGATGGATCAAAATTCTGTAACCATACTTTTAAGATGCTATAAGTTATGCTGCTTAGCTACCAGCAAGAACCCATTATATCAGAGATAAATAGAGAGCAGGAAGAGACGTCCTATTAAGCAAAGGTAATAGTGGATTCTGACGAAGAAAGCATCTGCTTTCTGTTGTAACAGGTGTATGTATTTTGCCTTTCCACTGTCTTTCTTGCTATTGAGACAGTGCAAAATGACTTCATGCATCAAAAAGGGAATTTGTCTGCAATACTTTTTTAAAGGAAAGCAGCTGTTTTACTTTGGTCTCCAGGAAAGAAAAAGAATGTCAGATATTGAAGATACTAAAAATTGCCATTTTGCGATCGTGCAAACGGTGAGGTTTACATCTAACAAGGTGCCTCAGCACAGCTTCTTGGGTAAAAAGCTGGTCTCCTAAACACTCAATTGAGGAAAAGGATCTTCTGCAAGGCAATTCACAGTAGCAAATGTGGCTACCTAAAGGTAAGTGGCAGGAATATTCTGGCAATTAATGAAAAGTTTTGTACCCAGCATTCCCAGAATAGGTTCTTCCAAGAATCTGGAAGGATGAACTTAAGCGATATTTAGGCGCCTCAGAATACATATAGACAACAAAGTGATATTCCCATCAGGTGTATTTTTGTACTTTTGAGCTTGTGAGGATCTGAATGCTTTTGGAAACTTCCTGCACAAATTCATTCCTCCTGTGGTGTCATCAATATCAGTTGTATTACTTACTCGTTCACACATATGTTTTTTTTCTGACCATATCTCTGTTTTTACCTGTTGAGTTGTTCTTGAAGTAAATCTAATCGATTCTCTACTTCTCCATATATAAAGTCACTTTCTGTTTCACAGATCCCCCATGTAACATGGGGTAATGCTGACTGAACTGGGGAGTCCTGATACTCCTGGATGTCTTCCTGCTCCCAGTTTCTTTTATCAGTGACATCTGATGAAAAACAAAACATATAAAAATATAGGTTTATATACATCTTGTTAGAGAGGCGTTGGAACCCCTCAAGCACCCCACTTACTCGTGTTTCTCAAAACCTTGAAAGTCAACTTGGTACACTGGCACACTGCCTGAACAACTCTCTTTGTTCCTTACTACTACTTAAGGAAAGATAAAAGTGGTCGCATCCATACTAACATTTTGAAGCCGTAAATAAGCAAGCAGCTTTGTCTAGTCAGCGTCATCAGAGTTCTGCTGCCGAATGGCTCCTATTTCTTCAGTTTTCTTTCTATTAATTTACCAATGAATCCCTAGTTTTCTCAAGGTGTTTTTTTTAGCAATTCATTATTCATTGAAATTAGACATATTTGTTCTAACCTAAATACATTAAATGAGGTACTTGAATGTCTTTGTGTGTTTCAGAGACCTGGCTAAGACCCCTTCTCCTGCCCTTGAATGCGCTGTTGAAGTATATTTACTGTTTGGCTTTTTGGTGTAAAATGAGGGCTTGGAGCATTGCATTTACAGCACCGGGCATGCATTACAGTGCACTGGAATGCCCCCTCAAGAGAGAGTTGCCAGATCTAAGCTAGCTGCCTTTCTTGCCAATAATTGGAACACTGCTTGTCTTAACAAGGTGGAGGGGGTAATATGTTTTCTCTGAGACAGCGGCCGTTTAATGCAGCTCATACTGCTCATACTGCTTGCAAAAGGATACTGGTTATTATTTTCAAAAAGGAAATTGATTTTCATTGATGTAGCTTTTAGCATCACTAGGCTCCAACCTAACCCTTACATCGTTGTGTAAAGCATGTCTCAGAGTACCGTACTCTGTGTCTTACAGTACTGTGAGGTGAAAGGTGCCGGTTCATTTCGTTTAATAATTTGTGACTCCTAAAAGAATGAAATATTCAGCATTCCTGGGTCAGTCAGAGATCACTTTAATGTTAAACGAATCTTCGTGGTAAATAATAATTTTTTTTTTTTTTCCTCTGTTTGAACTGCAGATAAAATTTTGGATAAGATAGGGAAAATAAATTTATTTCAAGATAAAAAAAGCTCAGTTACATTATTAGGATCTTACTGCAGAAGTTCAGCTATATTGCTGAGTTTATTTACCCTTCTAATCCTACTATATTGTATATACAATATAAAAATTATTTAAAACCACTCTTTATACGAGTCATTTGTATTTATTTCTTTAACTCCAGGCCTTTGTAAAAAAAATGATGATGGCTGCTCCAGGCCTTACCCTGTACCTGCTGTGTTCAGATTCCATCCCTCTTATCCCTCTCATTGTTGGATCTCTGTGATCAAATACTGCACTTTACCACCCAAACAGAACTCAGGAGCACTCCTTCCTTTTGCTTGGATTTCTGGTTAGAGCTATTTCTCCTTCCTCTTTCAATTTGTTTGATGTACACCTCTGTAGATTTATTAATTAGTTTACATTCTTGGCTCTAGGCTGTTTCTCCTGTTCAGTAAGCTGGTGAAAGATTTATCATGGGTATACTAGTTGCACATATCCTTATCAGACATAGAACGGAGATCTTGCTGTGAGCTTCACAGAGCCGACAGGTGACATACTTAGGTTGAACATTGCTCTTTCTACATCTACCCCTCACCACCCCAAGCCTTTATACTTTGAGTGAATCTGTTGTCAAGCAAACAGTCAAAAATTGCTCAGTACCACTCAGATTCTCCTCTGCTGTGATAAAGAATTCTGTTAAAACTTTAACACCTGCTCAATACAACTCCCATTAGGGCTGTATTTATAATTATTTACATGAAGTTACAGAATGTATTAAAAGTTCTTACTGCGCTCAGGCTGCTGCTTCAACATACAGCTGGACAAAATCCTTGACTGCTTATAAGACATCAGCCTCCGTTGTATGAATTTGAATCCCACATCCTCCCATAGTCCCTGAATGGTTTGCTCAGAGCTTCTCCTAACACTTCTCTTGGTACTGCATGCTGATAACTCAGCATAAGCTACATTCATTTCACACTTGTGAAATTTTTCGAAGCAGCCATAGCAGCCAGAGCCATGTTTCAAAGAAAAGAGAAAAAACTGGTGTAGATGAGATGTGAGAGGTTTGTCCAAACGCTATTAGCTAACCCTTTTCAAACACATCTTTGAGCAGTGTTGCTCAAAGTTTTTTTTAAAAAAAGTCCTGCTCAGATGTAATATTTCAAGTAGATTTAGCCAGGAAGGGGAGCTCTCACTACATGACTCCAAGTGGAGGAGGAGACTTTCTTTTTTTCAGAGAAAGGTGCTTACTGCATTATCTGATCTTTGGTTAGCAGGTGGTAGAATGGTTCCTGGATCTGTAGAGCGTGTTTGAATTTCATGTGACATGACCTATAACTGATTTTATGCACTGAGCAGAAGGAAGAGGAGAGAGATTTCATCGTGGCTACACAGAAACCTGTTCAGCTTCTCAGCCACTTAAGCCAACAGAAGGAAAGAAGCAAACGGTGTCACAGAAGCATGTAATTTGGTTTTAGCAGGCACACATGGCACAATTTGCAGTGTCCAAGCAAGCTCGAAGGCTCTCAGCAAAGAGAAGGGAGCAGACTATGACAAATTCAGGGGTACAATTTTAAACTATGGGTATGGGTGCAATGGATGTTGTATATCCAATGGACTTACTTTTAAGCAGTGAATTTCAGGAGCAGAAAATAAAAATATAGGCCATACATTTCACTGATTTTTAATGTTTTGCGAAAATCAAGTTGTTGGCTACTTTAAGCAATAAATCATTCAATAAAACCACATATTTTTCAATGCTGTGGATTATCCCACAGCTGTTTTTTGTCCCAGAATATGTATGTGTAGACTATTACTATCAACATTTAATTTGTGACAAAGCAAATGAATTGTCACTCAAACTATAAAATAAGTTCATACACTATAAGCAAGTTAATACACTATAAGATATGGTATTGTACTCTTCTAAGCATCTTTTCAGGTACCTCCACATACACAAGTAACCCCAGAAAAGCCCAACAGCAGTTACAGCTTTATAACTAACTATGGTCTTCCAGGGCTTGAAGAATCCTAGACTGAGAACTAAATCAATAAACGTATAGCTAGCTTCACTTAAACAATTCAAGAATCATTTTATAGCCCAAATAATGACCAAGTGAAAATACAAAATAGCATTTTTCCACACTATGTGGATTACCAGATACAGAAAATTATCAGGTCTTCTCAAGAGACATATGTTTTAACATCAAAATTTGCAGTTTAGGATTATGAGAGAGAAGTTTATGCAGCTTCCGCCTGCTTATGCAATACATTATTAATAGTGTTTCCATTCATTGACAGTAATTCAGTAATGACCAAAGCTTAAAAGAAAACTAAAGAGAATTAAATATGTATCAGTCACAGTGGTAATGAATTGCAGTAGCTTTATACAAGTGCATTTGTATTCAAGATTTATAAGTTACCATACTATATGAGGATTATAGACATACATACATACAAACAGTTTATTTCAAAATTTCATTATGTTTATGATGGTAAGTTATAATCTCTAATTAATTTTTATGGTAAGTTGTAATCAATCTCTAATTAATAGCAGGAGTAAGAATTTAGTTTAAAACATGTATCAGTCAAAGCTGATCTTATTTTATCGACCTTGAAGTTTTTATGAAATTTGCAAGAAATGTAATGAGCTTTCACACACATTACCAGAAGTGCTAGATTACAAACTGGAAGAAAGAATGTGGTCTTAATCAAAACATGTAACCTTTAGACATGCTAAATTTAGCTCAGATAAAATCTGCAATAGGTTGCCTTGGAAAATGTTGCTATAGCTGCAAGGACACATTTCTGGCTATTGGTAGGGGAAAGGTAAGCTTTCAAATTGCAGTATGTATGCAACAAGTGTATGTGGTACAGATCTACACAGCCTTAACCTGGGGAGATGAGACTTCACATATTCGTACCTTTGAGATGTACAAATTACATTGTTTGGCCTGAGTAATCATTAGGTTCATTTAAAATTACAGCCTAAAAGCCTAAAGTTTATTGAATGATGGCTAAATGGTTAAATTGCCTCAATGGAAACAAACTGCTGAGGAAAACAGCATTAAGCAGTCCCTTCAGACTGAAACAATTACAAATGAACGTTCAGCAATATTTAAATTGTATATTAATCTGGGGCTTTTCATTAATTTCCCTTCACATCACTGAGAAAAATTAATATTTTAGTATATTAGATGTAATTTTAATGATGTGATTTAAGTCTATGTAAAAGTAACTGAGATTGCTTAAGAGTTTCTGATCATTTGTCATATACAAAAGCTCAAATCTTTGTTCTTGTGTTTTACTTATGGAAGTCAGGATTTGTTCTGTGTGGTGTAATGACATTCCTTTTAACCAACATGTGCAGCAAAATGTAATCCAGTTCTGTAATCCAGTCCTGCAGCCAGTGTATTAAACTACATTAATCCTCCTGAGAAATAATTCTTGATCTAAAATATTTTTTCTTGTTCAACTTTCAGGAAACACAAAAGTAAAGATAATCAGACTAAAAAGATGTCTAGTCAAACTTTACAAAGTAGCAACAGCTAGATTACCTTTGCAAGAACTGCTTCTTTTGTCCATAAGAATTTCTTCTGTGGCATGAACCATTTCTTCAAAGTCCACCTCTGTGGTTTTCTCTTTTACAGATTGGTAATCAGCTATCCCAGAAAACAGGGGCTTTTGCTCATCTTCAATGGAGGACACAAAAGATGATGACCCACTTTTTTTCTCCTCCAAGTGTTTCTTAATAGATTTATAGTATACGGTGGCATCCCCTGAGGGTTCAGGATCACTCTGATCATTCTCTTTGAAATAATCTGTTAAACAGAAATAATTGTGTACAATAATACGTAGTTCATGAAATTGTGTTCTTGTTTATTGTGGTCTGAGGATAGAGATGATTATATCAGTTAGGAAGTGCACTGTCTAAAGACTTTAAATTACTTTAAAGCCTTTTTTGATTCCTGTATCAGAGGAGATTTATATTTCTTTTGAAGTCCTAGAAGACTTTTACATGTATGTAGTAAGGATTCAGAGTCCCCAAGCCACAACCTATTATGCAAAAAGTTGATTTTATCTAAAAAGCAAAGGTTTTATCCACAGCCCTCCTGTTTACTCACTGCTTTTTCCAGGTGAGGATGAGATTTGAGAAAGTTTTATATTCCAAAGTTTTAAAAAATTAATTTATTATTTCATTTCCTCTTCCAATTTCTCACATTCTTGGGCATTTCTCACAGTTTTGACAGGCTAACAGTCGTGGATGCCAGACTCAGTATCAGAACTGCTCATTTAAGGTATGCTCACATAAGAGCATCTTTGCTGATTATTCTTTTCCCAGAAAAGGCAAATTTATTAATCAGCGACTCAACCTCAAAATGTCTGGGCCCACCTAAACAGAGAGCGTATTTCTTTATGCTTATTACCGTCAAACCTATATTTAGGATTGATATGATAGAGAGAAACCATATTGGTACAACAAGAAGGGAGTTCCTTGTCTGTCATTGTGGGATCATCTCAAAGCAGCTTTCCAAAGTAGCCCAAATCCCTTTAGAAATGATTGCAATTCTCTGAACATCCAATCTTTTGAATAAGAGAACTACACAACAGGCTGTGATATAAATGGTAGCAGAGTACCAAACAAGTTGAGAATGAATCTTTCATTAATCACATTCAAGGTCTGTAGTGAGAAACAGCAGATTCATTTCTCTTAAGAAGTTGCAAATAAAATGAGATTTAAAGCAGATGCCTTTAAAAACACATTGTAAAAATTAAATAGGATTTAAACCCAAGAACGATCATTTATGAATACAGAGAACTCCTGATCTCTTTTCAGCCTATACTCAAAGCTGATTTCCAATTCAATATTTGGTTTTACCTATTTTTAACTGAAATGTCAAGATAATTCCAGTTCTGCTATGTATTTAAAACACATTTTAGCAGGGTAGTCTCAACAACATATAAATACTGTAACTAGTTTGCATTAACTTCCTGAGGAGACAGCATGATTTCCCATCTGCTTTGTGCTAATTACTAATCAACATAGCTCTGGAATGTCTGTAGTCTTTACAGCCTACAGCAGTGGTTAATACAACATTTAGTACGTTCCCTAGGTTTCTTCTCTGTTTTCTGGTCACTATAAGGAAATAAAACTGGGCCCTCATCTAATCCTCTTTATCTACCCATGAAGAGAATGCAATATCTGTACAGAGCACTCTGTAGGAGTCCAGACATCTGTGAGCAGTGAGGGCAGGTAATGGTGAACAAAATAAAACCAATACCAAAGCGGGTGGCCTCTAACTGTACTCTCTAGAGTCTCCAAGGGCATTTAACACAGCAGTGGACTTTATTTGGCTTCTGTTAAGCAGGATTACTAGCTATAAGTGATACTGGTGATTCTCTGATACTGTGAAGCCAACACAAATGCAAAACGGACTGGCAGTGTAAAGCTCTTGGGGGATGCTCAGACTGGAAAGCCAAGTACCATGTTCTCTGCCATCCCATCTCCAAAACAGTACAAAACCAAAAGAAATCTTCGTAAGAAAATTCCAATGTAGATGTCTCCCATGGCTTTTCTTGTGGGAATATATGGTGAAATACATACAGTCACGCTACAGTAAATTGTCTTAATTACTTACTGCTTGACTGACTTCAACCTGTGAAAAAGATCTTCTAATGAAAGCTTGAAATTGCCATGTTTTAGGGTAATTTTTTATGTTCATGGGATTTTGTGCACTAACGGTAGCTGTAATAAGCACCCTGTGGAATACAAATCAATCAGTGGACTAATTTTAAGAGGAGGTCATTGAGACTTTAACAAAAAAAAATATATAGCAGCTGAAGTATAGCAGACTGTCTTATCTGTCATATTCACAGAATACTAAACTATCTAGAAACGAGAAGCCAGATTCTGCTAACAATTACACTGCTGTAAAACTAGGGTAATTCAATCGATATCCCTGCATTTAGTCTCAAGCTGTATCAGAATAACAAAACATATTATTTTCCAAAGGCTGTCCAGGTACTCACTGGCATTAGAAGAAAAGCAGAGATCTGTTGAATGTAGGGTCCTGCCTATTGAAATCAGGGAAGATTTCTTCATCAGCTGATCTATTTCAAAATATGCATGCTTGGCTCTATTGCTGTTGCTTTATCTGCTAGCCATCTGGCTACGTTCAGAGAGTCAAAAGTTGTTTTCCTTTTAAAAGGCTCTTATTTAATGCTAAAAATTTTTCTGTTTGGAGAATAATCCTGTGATAGTCTGCACCTAGAGTAGGAATTAAAATGGAAACTGCATTTTTTATTTGGCTCTTCAGCACCTGATGATGGTGCAGCTCTGTACCTCAGCTCAACAGCTTAGCAGTACCTCTGTATCTCAGTGGAAACAGGTTACAAATAATATCTAGGTAGTGTTTTATTCAGAGTGTGAATTTCTCCAGTTTCTCCCTCCTTTGGTAATGAAATCTAGTTATTGGTTTGGAATGAAATTTCCAGAGGAGAAGAGTTTTCTGTCTGTGTATGTGGATGTATGAGTAAGTTCACTTTCTATCACACAGACTCCAGGTTTTAAAAGGTTTCTCTTCTCCTGTCTCTTGTTTCCAAAATAAATGTAATTGTTAAAAAAACCCCCTCATCCTAGTGCTTCCTCCTTCCTTTTCCAGTAACAAAAGTTTCACTCTCTGATTCTGATTGCTAGAAAATATTTTTTGCTAAAGATTATTAGTTTGAAACTTCCTGCTTTACCAAACGTGTACAAACATCATTTACACTCTTTATGGGACTTCTTTTAGCCTGCTATGTGTTTTGGGTGCCTGCGAAGTTCACAGGCAATGCCCTCTGACATTTGCTGTCGGGAAATTCCAAAATCTTCATAGTAATTATCAGAATGTTTATGTCCTGCTTTTTGCACTTGCACTGGCAAAGGAAGGGAAGAAACAGGGTTGTCATGAGGGCAATGAAATATAGCTATGACATAGACTCACAGAAATACTGGCATAAAATCCATCTTGGTGGGATGGTTACTAGAGATCAAACAAGGTTCTTTTGTGTGCCATGGTCAGCTTGCAGTATTGAAGTTTTGCATTATTCAGACAGTGGCAATCTTCATGATCTAGACATATTTTCTCTTAACGTATTAGTCTGCTGCAAACAATATTGGTGAAAGTGTCAGTAATGTATTACGTGTGGAGCAGCATTGTTTAATATTACTGCAATTTCATCAGCCAGAATTTGTCATACTTAATCAGGCTAGCTGTGTAGCCTAGTGTTTCAGAAGGTGGCAAATCTTTACTCCCTTTTTCAGCCATCCAATAAAAATCCCATAATAAACCTAGACAAATTCAATTTTGTGCAGGAAATGAGGTGAATGACTTCCTCGTCCCCGCAGAAAGGAGTTTGTATCCCAAACCATAAACCAGATAATCCTTATCATTAACATAAATCTGCATAACTATAAATCTGTTCAGTAGACGTGACATCTTCCCTTTCCTTTGAAAAAAACCTACCATGTTATTTTACACTACACTAAGTATGTCCCTTGGTAAGGAGATGGAATGCACATTATGACCTGGGAGGAGGGATGGCTGATTGCTCAAAAGGATCACAGATCTTCAGATTCCCAGCAAGTTTTTTGGTTCAACAGTTATTAGCTCTTTCTCATGTGATATTCACAAATATTCCTGTGGTAGTCAATCTGTCTTTTCTACGCATGGACAAAATATTTGCTAGTCATCATGACTATTTGTTATCTGTTCTTTAATTTAAAAATGTCAGTTACCTTGTCAGAGAGCAAAAAAAATGCCTTATATGCCCACCCAGGCACCACAGGCTGAAAATATTTGGAATAAAAAGTAAATGACCAAGCATTTCAGCTAGTATGTCAAATACAATACCACAAACATGGTAAAATCTCAAAGATGTCAAAAGCTGTCGATACTTTATTTGAACACTGATGTTCAAGCCATGCCTATATTTTCCACCATATAGATGGGGAGCAGCATTAAAATCAGTCAGGCAAAATGGTAATCCTAATTCCTGAAGTTGCTGCTTTTCACTTAGTGGTGCAAGAACAATATAATTGATACCTAATATTTATGTAATATCAGAAATTACTGGCACTGTGGAGCGGGACCAACGTATAATGAGGGGTGATTCCAGAGAAGTCTACTCAAGTTGTATGTAGGCTAAACTACTCTATAGAATGTTAACTGGGGACTTTAGGATTACTAAACTGCTAATTAAAATGGTCCTAATTATTTTTTCTTGCTGTTTGATTCATACTTAGTTGAATGTGACTGGTATGGAGTACATTTCTAAATATAACTGAGTGCCTTCTGATAGATTACATAATGGAAGAACATCAAAAAGGAGGAAGCTGACTGCTTGTAAACATGAAAATCAAAAGGAACCCTGTGTCTGGTCATTCAGCAGATAACTGTTGCTATGGTGAAGATATCGTCACCTTTTGGCCATATTTTTCATACATCTAAGAATAAAATAAAAAAGTTAAAGTAATTTGTATTCCTCTAAGATATATTTTATAACAATGAAATCCACACGCAAGTTGTCTGACACTTTTGTTTCTGTTGCCATCCTTTCTTTGACTTGGGTCTTTTGGATTTGGTTTCTTAACCCAATCTGCAATTAATATTTTTACTTGAAAATTACATTTGTGCACGACCTTCCAATGACAGACTTCAGAACAGATTTTTAATTCACAAGTTCTATTATCTTTTCATTGCTTAATTTTAGTGAATTTAAAATCTTCAGAAAGAAAATGGAACTGATTTGCTAACAGTCTTATGGGAAACTGTATAAAGAA